CACAAGATACCTGGTGGATGTCCGGCATAAGTAGTCTACATTTCCCTTTTGAAGTAGTTTTCTCAACTTCAAAGTGCATGGGAACTTAGCTCTAGCTCCCAGAATTCCCCAGCCAGCATGACCACTGCTGAGAATTCTAGGTGATCTACACATATGCAAGAATAAAATATTCTACTTTAAAATACAGTTGTATTTCAGATGTATAAATTAGCATATGAAAATGTTATCTAGATCTCAACTTTCTTTTTTCATACGAAATGCTCTAGGCTGCCGTTCTTGGGGTAAATCAGGCCAGGTGTAAACTTGTAGCATCAGGACTAGAGAAGGTGACAACTTCTACCTAGGCAAAAGCAATATTTACTAATCTTAGAAAAAATGAAATAGGAGGGAGGAAACCAAGTTTCCTTAATCTCAGCTGATAAAATAAACCACTCTTATTTAGCTTCATGTAATATGCTAAGCCATAAAGCTTGATTTACAAGACACCAATCATATGGCTCACTATGTGACCTTTCTGGGCTTGAGCCAAAGGATGGAAGAAATGCACCATAATTCTGGGTGAGGAATAGGCTATTCAGTCCCGATGGCTTCAAATGAAGTGGTGGCAATAACAAAGATTGGTTGTACCATTCTCTCCAAAGGGGGCAGGAAACACATGCCCTCTTCTTGTGGCATGTCCTTTGCTTCTAGGGGTGGGCTGCCACAGAGATTAGGTTTTCTCCATTCACCTGTTTTGAGAAGAGATTGGAGGCGAATGTTCCCTCCCCACCCCAGCAGACATCCGACTGATGACAGGAAGACAAGAGTTCAAAGTTACAAACATCTGCGCCCGGGAAACAAATGACGACGTTCACGCCTCCGTTTGAGGGAAGTGTGGGTGGAACAGTCTGACTCCACCACTAAATCAAGTTAGAATGTTTGTCCCCAAACATTTTTACGTATACTATCTTATATAGTCACTTGATAGTGAGCCAGGTGGCATATCAATTTAATAAAAAAATAAATATCCCTCAAGGTTTGTTCAAGTTCCAATCGTACCCAAGGGCAGCTTTGCCCAACTGTCTCAAACTACTACAACTAAGCTGCAAAAATGTGGACAATCAATAGAGGGCAGCCAAGAGACAAATATATTTAGTCCATGTTGCCACCTGGTCGGCATCTGCAGTTCTGCAATCCTAAACTTTGTACCCTCAAGATATCTATTGAGTGGAGAGGACTCATTCTCCTCTCCAATGGTTTAGATCAGGGGTGTTCAAACTTGGCCCTTTTATGACTTGTGGACTTCAACTCCCAGAATTCCTCAGCCAGACATGCTGGCTGAGGAATTCTGGAAGTTGAAGTCCACAAGTCATAAAAGGGCCAAGTTTGAACACCCCTGGTTTAGATTCTGTGACCCCACCCTTTAAGCTGTTGAGGAACCACTTACTCATGGTCATATCTCCTTCTGTGTTGATGTACAGCAGTTTTCAAACTTGCAGCATTGCAAGCTTTTTAACCATTCTCTCTTGGAGATATAGAATTGTTCTTTGGCTGCACAAGAATCAGCATTTTTCTTTTAATTTTTTTCAGCTTGTCTCAACTATGAATTGAAAAATTAAGCCAACAGCATCTGTCTCATGTCGAAGGGAAAGAAGGTTCTGAACTGGTGTTCTTTAAGAAGGACAATCCCAATTCTGACCAAACCCAAGAATGGTTTCACGAAATTTCCCAAATCAGGAAACAGTGGAAATTTACTTCTTGAAATAAAAATATAGTGATGGATCAGTTGATGGGTCAATAAAATAATCAATTCCTCAATAGGTAGATTTTCATAACATGCGTATTAAACCTGGTTACTGAATTAATCCAATTTTCTAAATTACACAACTCGGGAATAAACTTATCAAAGTAGTCTGGCCTCACACAATACATTAATCTATTTAAAAATCATCGAAGTTAAACATGTATTGTGTGAATACAGCTGCTATGATTGAAATTGGTCTAGCTAAGAAGTTTTTCTGACTATAACAGCCAGATAATAATTGGATGTGACAAGGAGGCTGGTTTTTAATTTCATGCAATCTCTTAATTTCATGCAATCTCCTAAGAGAAACCCAAACAAACCACCATATGGCTTTGTGCTGTTATTGTTACAAACTAGTTTTGAGGATACAATCTCCAGTGAAGCTAAAAAAGGAACCAACTAGGTTCCATAGTGATTATTAACTGAATGTTAGCAGAGCAGAGATTCAAAGCAAGGGACTAAGCAAAGATTGTCAGCAAGGCTGGTTAACATATCTGACCTTTAGCCTGTGATACTAGAGAACTGGCAGTACATCAAAACATAAATAACAGCTTGAGGAATTAAAAAAAAAAAGGACAACCTGATTGCATAAATCATATGCCGAGACAGCAACTTAAACACTTTGCCTTATTGGAAAGTCTCATGCATGAAACTGGAAGAGGCATCATATTGGCTGGTGTCTGTAAGCCAATGTTTCTCAATCTTGGCAACTTTAAAACCTGTGGACCTCAACTCCCAGGATTCCCCAGCCAGTCATGCTTATTCTGTCCCACTCATCTTTAAGTCCCAGCCTAATTTCTATTAAATTGCAATTTCCCATGCCCTCTCTTCTTTCTCCTTAGTAGCAGGCCATAGGGCAGCATTTCTCAACCTCTTGCAAGCTGGGGAATTCTGGGCGTTGGAAGTCCACAAGTCTTAAAAGTGGTGAGACACTGCTGTAAACCAATCACTAATATTGGCGGGGTGAGGCTGGAGAAGGTGTTCAGCCTTCTTATCCTCTCCTAACATTGCCAAACATTTTTGAACTATTGTGTGCCTAAATTCCTTCCTTGCACAAACAGTTTTCTGGGAATGCCTACACATCACACTTCAGTATTGCCATTATAAAGACAACCAACATAGCATTGGACTATTTCATATTGCAGAGTAAAATTTTTGTCCTCTAGTCTAAACCAAGCAAGGGTCCCCAAACTTGGCAACTTTTAAGACATATGGAAACTCTGAGAGTTGAAGTCCACAAGTCTTAAGCTGCCAAGTGCTCTAAATCAATTTGGGGGCAAATTTAAAAATAAAAAAACACAATATGGCATCCTTGCTGGGTTTCTACCACTCCAGGATGTTTTTAACCCAGGATCTGTAGTTCATTTTCACCACAGGGCATTTAGGATCCTTGGCAACTGGTATCACAGCAAAACCACTTGCACTGAATGGCTCTTTGTAGTTGGTTCTAATAACTCCTGGCCAAACACCAAACATAAATGGAAATTATTAGATGTCTTCAGGCATCTTCAACTTATTTTTGCAGCCTAATATATGCAGAACCCTTCAGAAGTAATACTATAGATGGCCTGCTCACCTATCACACGCTCCTGGATTCACACAACAGACTGAGGTATACCCATGTAACTTTATCCTAGGTGAATTGCTTTAAATGCAACTCAGTAGGCAACATCCTGTCACCTGCCTTGTCCACCCTATTGCACCATTACTTTAAGCATTATATACTGTAGCTTATTACTGCTCTAAGCTTACAAGAGGATGAGGAAAAAAGAACCAGCAAATATCCTGGCATTACCATTTAAGAAAGACCTGTTGAATACTAGCCCACTTTGTAACACAACTACATATCATAACATTTTAAATGTAACCTCTACTTCTCTACCTATATGGCCCAGATCACAGATCACACTATACAACAATATTTATTAATTAACATTTATACCTCTCCTTTTCTCTGGAAGCTTATGGTGCAGATTCTGGGTCCTGGCCTATTTTAAATGCTCTGAAAAAAGTGACTTATGATCATTTTTCACACTTATGACCATCACAGGATCCCCAGGGTCACATCATCAAAATTCAGATGCTTGACAACTGGCCCATATTTATGACGTTGCAGTGTCCTAGTGTCAGGTGATCCCCTTTTGCGACCTTCTTACAAGCGACGTCAATGGGCAAGCCAGATTCACTAAACAACCATGTTACTAAATTAACAATTGCAGTGATTCACTTAACAATTGTGGCAAGAAAAGTCTTAAGTGAGAAACACATTTCTCACTTCACAACTTAAATTATGGGCTCAATTATGGTCATAAGTTGAGGACTACCTGTACAAATCTGCAAGATGGGTTATGTGTAGTGACTCCAAACATTAGTGAAGCCAAATCTCCAAGCAGGCTTAGCATTATATAGGCTTGCTTCACTGTGGTTCAATTAAGCCAGGTTGCACATTATACCATAAACTTTTTTCCCAGAAACAAGCAGAATTCACTCCCATGCCAGGCTAAAATAAAAGCCATATTATGGCTAGCAGAATACATGTAAGTTGCATACTCAACCAGGAGGCAAATCCCAAATTTGTCAATGTCACTTTTAACTCTTGCAGGTATCAATCTGCCTTCCACTTGCACATTCACAATACCGGATTTTGGGGGGGGGGGGGAATCTTAGAAACATAAATCTAAATTCTAAATCCAGATAGATTTGTTGCTCAATATTGGTTGAGAAATTTTCAACCTGTTCCCTAGAGAGATCATATTATTTTCTAATATTAAAGTACTTTATTGGCCAATTTAAATTTGCATGAAGCTCTATTTGGCAATTTTATGCTAATGCCCTAATAACACAAAGTGTTCCTCCTTGCCAAAAATGTCTTTTATTGCAATCAGCAAAAGCTGAAACTGCTCTAAATCTTTTCTCAGATTGGCTGCTTCCCAATTTTAAGGCCAGCATTTTAAATTTGGGAGTTCAAATCATTTTTAAAATAATTACCAATGGAACTATAATTGATCCAGGAAGTTACAATTTACAGTGATTATGGTGCCTTTGGAAGATTCTCTTCTTCAGCATCCAGCAGAATGAAACAATTGCGCTACATTAAAATACTGACTTAAACATCAGTATGAAAAATTACGTGATCAAGCTATATTTGGATGTGTCCATGCATGTTAAGTTAGTCTTTCCTCCCTCTCAAAAAAAAAAAAACCTGTAAAAATTTCCAAAGAATTTAAAAAAGTTTAAAATTTATTAAGAAACTTTTATAAAAAGTTTTTTTTTTACAAAGCAAGTACAATTCTCGGAAACAGAAATTCACCTTCCTGCCAAAAAAAGGTACGTATGTCATCTCTATTATAGAGTTCAACAATTTTAACTCATGAGGCTCAACCAACCTCAAGTGAGTTCAATTTTCATAGTCTTACATCCCTTCCCAGCCCCCGCCCCAAACTGACATTAAAAAACTATAATCCAAAATATACAAACAAGCTGAGTTATCTGCGATTTTTTTTTTTGCTTCATTTTTTTTAAAAAAGAGCAAAAAACATCTCTCTCCATAAACCTCTACACCAAAGCATTGCAACTGTGGAAGAATGAAATCCACATTCTTTTAGCTCTCTTCAGCCCAAACAATGGGCAGTACAAATCTGATGGCTCAAGAGGGTTTTTTCCCCCTTTCTTCTACCTTTGCCAAAAAACTGCTTTAGGATACCAAATTCCTTCTTGTGCAAGGCAGCAATCCAATGAATGAGTAATTTGACAATAAAAGGCAAGATGCTTTCCCCAGCACCCCCAGTCCTGGCCTGCAGAGTTTCTTGTTTTCAGGCTGATGGAAGATAAAAGTAACACAAGTTTGTTTGTTTTTTTTAAAAAAGTTGTTATTGGAAGACCCAGTGGAGAAATTGCCTTGGGTGATCTCGTTCTGCAGTTTATCTGGAAGATAAAGGCACAGGAGGGAGGTCCGTCCGTCCATTAGGGATGCCCAGTTTTGGAACAGCTGATTCTTTCTCCAGTCAAGGTCTTAATTTTCCTTCTTTCTTTTTTCCTCCCCCTTTCTTTCGCTGGAGAGAACCCAGTGTCAGGATCCCACACCTGCAGCCTGAATGGGTGGGGAAGAAAAGCTCTTGTCAGTTTGAGCAACAGATCAGAGGCAGGTCTGCAGACAGCCTGGCGCCTGGAAGGAAACTTTTATGTACCTCCAGCTGATAAGGAATCAGCCGCCAATACTCAAGCTGGGGGCTGGCTAATTGGCACCAAAACAACCAAAAGGAATGGGGGGAGGAAGGCAGGAGGGGCCAAAAGGCAGAGAGCCACAGGCTCTTCTCTTTCGGAACTCTCTGCAGATGGATCTAAAATTACAGATTCCAGGGAGAGCGGGGAACAACTGTAGAGCTGTGTCTTCCTGACTACCAAAGGGAGGGGGGGAGGAGAGAGAGGGAAAGCGGGGCGAGTGCAGAGTGCCTCTTGATTCACTCATTTCAACAGGGCTGTTTAAGCAGCTGCAGAGACTTAAAGCTATTAAAAGAATGACATTGTAAAAATAATGACTCCATTTACAGGCAAAAAAAAACCTGAAAGCCCAAGCTGCTGCAGAATTGGCAGCAGGAACAAGGGGCATAAAAGACACATTCTCTTAGCATGAGAGGAGTCATATAAGGCTACTGTGGGTAACCTAGTTTCCAAGCCAGCAAGCCCTTAAAACAAGGCTTCCTCCTTTTGTAGGATTCCAAGAGGTTTTCATGGCTAAAGGGAGGAGGGATCGAGAAGGGATGAGCTAGGAGGTCTTACGCGCAAGTTGGCTGTACCTGTTAAGCCTTTAGTGGTGGCAAAGGGTTCTTTCCTCCTTTGAGCAGAGTTCCGATGCAAGTTCAGCTGCCTTTGGAGAAGATGAGAAGAAATATTGACTAAATTTTTAAATATAGTACCAGGTTCTTCAAAGGTCAATTTTCAGACTCTTAGGCCTATTTTTTATTTCCCCACTGCTACTCTCTCTGCCAATACCTCCAATTTGCTACAGGCTTTTTGAAAAAGGATTTAGGATTCTAGGTCGCTCTCTCTACCGGATGAACCCACTGGTTGAATGGAATCAATATTTCAAATCCTGTATTTACTCATAATTAACCCATTTTGAAGTATCACAAAAGACCCTGGGTTCCAAACAAAGGAGTGTTTGAAAACACCTAGATTTTTTTTATGGGGCTTCCTATGAAAGAAAACATCAGCAGTAATCACCCTCAATGCATCTTACTCTCAAGTAAGTCAGCTTTCAATGAGGTCTGTTCCTTGGAACCAGTTGTGTAAATCTTTGGCTTTTTGTTAAAGATTTCAGACTCAAGATCGCAAAGCCAAATTTGCTGTTCTTGTACTTCCTTCGTAGGGATCCACTTTTCTGGGGCCAAATTTTAATCCAGTTTTGGATGGATTGCGAGTGGCTCCCTCATTTCCACCTCCCCACCCCAGACAAGCCTGAACGCTGAAGTTGTAATTTATAATAGAACTTAACAAAAATTCAAGGAAACGAACTAAGTTTAGTGGATGCTCAAATTTATGCAGGCAAGTGGAAGTCCTCAGCGCCTTTTCCCCCTCGCCCAAATAAATTTCTTAGGGTTTTTGTTCCAGACAAGCCCGGGATATGAACCTCGCCCCCTCCACCAACGAAGCGGCTCTTCTTGACCCAGTGGCGCGCGTGGGGACCGGCGCAAACTGCTGCTAGAAGCCGTTCAAGCTATCATCTGGCGGCGTCAGTGAGGAGCCCAGTGGGCGAACCCCCACATTATAGTACAACTGTCCATCATCCCGAGGACGATGGGTGTTGTAGTTCGACGAGCCAGCGTGATTGATAGGGAAGAGCAACAAGGTCGAGGAATGACTAGTCTGGGGCGCACTCTTACCCTTAACGCACTAAGCCTCCACTCCCTACCTTGCGTGGCTCTTTTCTATCCCCTCCCCGCCACCCTTGTAGGGTTGCCGCCTTCCTTCCTTACTTTTAAGGAGAGCAGAGAAGCCTCGGTCGAGGGATCCTGCCCCTTCTTCGCCTGCTCCTCTAGCACGATCTGGAGATCGAAGATGTAATCGATGACGTGTTGCAAGATTTCCACCTGGCTGACTTTACTGCCTTGCGGAATGCCAGGCACCAACTCACGCAGCTTCGAGTAGCAATCGTTCATGTCGTAGAGAATGCTCATCGGTTCCTCCAGAGCGGGGCTCTTGTTACTGCTGCCCCGGGCGATGGCGAGGCTCTGATCCGAGACGCAGCACACGGCTTCGTAGCAGCTCCTGACGGACCGCACCGGGCTGATAGCTTTCATGCTGGATGGGGAGGACGGGCGGAGAAGCGGGGCAGGCGAGGAAATGCAACCAGGCCACGGCCAACGAGGCGGAGGAAGGCTGTCCGCCGAGATCTCCTACCAGGATCTGCTCTAAGACACTTTTTTGCCCGCAAAGCGCCAGCGCTGACAGCGGCGCTTTTTGTCTTATCTGGCCCCGGCCCCTCCTCTTTATACAAATGAGGCCGGAGCGCCCGCCCCCTCCGATGACAGCGAAAAGGTTGGAATGGAACGTTTGCAAGGCGGCTCAACAGCCAAACAGGTTTCTATTGGCTTCGGCGGACACCACATAGCCAAGGACATCAAAGGAATGAGGAAGCTCTGATTGCAAAGAGGGCGGGGCTAGCCATCAAACGGCGCTTCCCTCCTTCCCCCTCCCCCCATGCCGCTTCCATTCAGTGAAGTCCAGCTATATTCAAAAGATACGTCGATCGCATCTTCCCCTCTCCTTTTTCATTAAAATAATGATTAGGGGGTGGGGAATGGAGCAGAGAGGGGCGCCAGATACTTAGACCATAGAAAACGGCCAGATTCCCCCCTTTCTGCCTTCCTCTTTTCGCCTAATCTTTCATCGTTTAAAAGCTAAAGCGTTTCCCAAGGTTTTGCATCTCTTCCCCCCCCCCACCTCATCATTGGGGGAGGCAAACTTGTACGGACTTAGTGCCGCCTTGTTCCTCAATTTGCTACTCATATGACCTCCAGACTTTCTGGCGTCAGGAATTATCTTGTGACCAAGTTTTTTTTTAAAAAAAGAAAAAAGAAAAGAAAGAAAATTAATTGCGGGGAAAGCTGAGGTTATGATGGAGAAAACAGATTGGGTCCCAAAGTAATGATAGTGGAAACCCGAGTTTCTGTGGTGTGAGAGTGCAGTGAAAGTGGGAATTGCACACAAAAATCTTTTGTTTGACAAATAAATGCCCCAGGGGGAAGAACGGCTGAGAGATTTTAGCTTTTAGCAAGCGGCTAGTTAGCTTTTAGCAACCAGTTTTTTTTTTTTTATCCTTGGGAAAAAAAAGTGAAACTATAAGATGAACTGGAAGATAAACTGGCACAAAATAATCTGACACAAATCTAAGTCTCTTGCCTATATTTCTAAATAATACACATGCCTCCTTTCTCTAATGCCCCATGATGCGTGCTCTGATCACCCCAATCATTTCCAAATATGCAGATAAATTTTGTTTACTTAAGGTTGCTAACCTCTCACACACCTATCAGGTGGCCAAATATCTTCACCAAGTTATACAACTGTTTTACTGTCCTATTAATTTTTTTCCTTTCCCAATAACAAACTGTTGCCTTCTGTTTGGTCAAATACCATAATAGAGTTTCTTGATTTGATCTGATACATATGCCAATGAATTATCATAAATTATGAATTATTTGAATATAGGGGATATAATGAATAGTAGATTCTTATTTTGAAACAAGCTATTGTCTATTTAACAAGACATCACCCTAAGCCCACATGGGTGATTTCATTCAATAGGGTTCCCCAAAAACATTATGGTTAAGCTCTAGGGTGGTTTGAACAAACCATGTGTTCAATCAATCAGAATAGAGCTGAAAGGGACCTTGGAGATCTTCTAGTTCAACCCTATACAGTTTGAGATAAGTGGCTGTCCAGTCTCTTCTTAAACACCTCCAGTGATGAAGCACCCACAACTTCTGAAGGCAAACCATTCCATTGGTTAATTGTTCTCAATGTTAGGAACTTTCTCTTCAATTCCAGGTTGCTTCTCTCCTTGGTTAGTTTCCATCCGTTGTTTCTTGTCTTGCTTTCTAGTACTTTGGAAAATAAGTTGATCCCCCTCTTCTTTGTAGCAGCCCCTCAAATACTAGCCTATTGTGATCCTACTGTTTTTAACCAAAGCTAAGTAAGCCTTCTGCTTGCAAGATGACTGGAATGTCACCAGAAGTGAACCATTCTAATGGGGGGAGGGGAAACAATAGCAACTTGGCAAGCTAATGCTGGACATCTTTTAAGATCTGTCAGCCCACTGGGTATCATGTACGGTAGTTCATATTCACACCCCACAGTCCTCCAGATATATAAGATTTTAATTTCCATAAACCCCAGGAACTACCATGCAGGTTGGGAATTACAGGAGATGATCCATCACAGCTGGAGGGTACCAGGTTGGGAAAAGAGAACACGGGAGTCTGCAAAGATGGTTTGTTTATTGTCAAGCTAAAATTGCATTCATCAATGCTCATTTTTTAAAAAAAATACATCGATCAACTGCAAGCAGACTTTTGGAATTTTATGTATTTGTTAGGTACTATGACACCCACCAGTGTCTGGGAGATTGTTCTAGTGCACATGTTCTTTATGATAGGAGTCCCCAACCCAACTGGTGTGGCAGATTAGTATAAGCGTGGCCTGTTAGGAACAGGGTCAGGCAAGCAGTGGGGAAGCGAGTGAAGCTTCATCTATGCATGCGCAGGATCTAATTTGTGCATGAAAACATCTCCCCTGGGTCTTTCATGAAAAAAATATCTTCCATGAAACCGGTCCCTGGTTCCAGAAAGGTTGGAGACTGCTGCTTTAAGTAGCTTTAAACCTCTTGAGCATCATCACTTTATTTCAAAAAGGGATCTGCTGACTTTAAAAGTGTGAAAACCCTTTTCCTACTCTTCCCTTATGATTGGGAATTCAGAGATGTCATCTGTGACCCACTAGATGAAGGAAGTCTTTACCACCCTAATACTCAGCTTGCATTGCAGGCCCATTCTCTGGATGAGAAAACTGAGGCTAAATTTGCAGGTTATGTTTCAGGATATTTGGAAACTTGATTGCCCATACAGGTGGTCCTCGGCTTACAACAGTTCATTTAATGATCATTCAAAGTTACAATGTCTCTGAAAAATAGTGGCTTTTTCACACATATGACTTTTACAGCATTCCCCATGGTCACATGATCAAAATTTGGATGTTTGTTAACTGATTCATATTTATGACAGTTGCAGTGTTCCGGGATCACGTGATCACCTTTTGTGACCACCTGACAAGCAAAGTCAATGGGGAAGCCAGGTTTACTTAACAACTGTGTTACTAACTTAACAACTGCAGTGATTCACTTAACAACTGTGGCAAGAAGATTGTAAAATGGGGCACAACTCAATTGTCTCACTTAGCAATCAGCGAATGTTGGGTCCAACAGTGGTAGTACATGGAGGACCACCTATAAAGGTAGAGGGAGTATGTTACAAGTTTGTTTCAGTCTTGTCAAAGTGATGTTTGGGCTTCAATCTTGCAAGCTGATACCAAGCGGGAAAATCTAGTGAATTGCCATGGGACCGGCAGTTACAGAATTCCCCTCACCAAACAAACAAACAAATAAATAAATAAATAAATGTTGTTTAATGTACACAGGTATCTATCACAACCTTACTTTGTGTTGTATGCATTCGTCTGGTTATACTGAAAATATCCCATCAGCTCCTGAGGGAAAGTCACAAAGGCATCCATCCACTTTTTTCTGTTGAGAGCTGCATCCCAGGAGCTGGGAGGGATGATAAAGCAGCATTCTTGTAAATGGAGAATGAACTCTCCCCCCCTCCCCCCCCCGCCACAAATCCATAGAGTTGTAGTATGTTTTGTTAAGGACATTTGACTAGTTTCAAATATACCTATGCCAAAAATGAATTGACTCAGCTTTCCAATGTAGAAAGTATATAGGTGGTCCTCAACGTACAAGCTCAATTGAACCAAAATTTCTGCTGCCAAAATTTGGTAAGTAGGTTTTACCCTGTTTTATGACTTTTTTGCCGCAGTTGTTAAATGAATCACTGCAGTTGTTATGGTAGTAAAGTTTTGATTGTCAGAAGGCTCCCTAGACACTGCAACTGTCATAAGTATGAGTCAATTGTCAGGCATCTGAATTTTGATCATGGGAATGCCGCAAAGGTTGTAAATGTGAAAAATGGTCATAAGTCACTTTTTTCAATGATGTTGTAACTTTGAACGGTCACTAAATGAATTGTTGTAAGTCGAGAACTACCTTAATGGGCTCCCGAACTTCTAAACTGCTTTTGAATTAGCACAGTGTGGAAATGCCCTCGCAGAAAGCTTCTGTATCTTACAGAATTTTATATCATTGTCTGGCTAATGAGTAGGCTGGCTTGGTCGCTCAACAGTGAGAAACTGGTAAAGCGGGCACAGCAGCGCCTACAATTTCTGTGTCGCATGAGAAAACTACATCTTCCTTCCCCTGTCCTGACCACTTTCTACAGGGGGACGCAGCATCACAGTCTGGTTTGGAGGCATCACTGCTTCAGACAGGAAGGCGGTGCAGAGAGTGGTGAGAATGGCCGAAAAGATCATTGGCAGTTCCCTCCCTCCCATCCAGGACATAGCACAGAAGCGCTGCTTGAGCAGGGTCCGTAAGATTATCTGGGACACTACACATCCTCTTCACGACCTGTTTTCCTTGTTACCTTCTGGGAGGAGGCTTCGTGGTATCCGTAGCAGAACATCCAGATTCAGCCATAGTTTCATTCCATACAGCATTAACCTTGTGAACTCTCAAGCTTCCTCCTTCCATTATATATTCAAGATGGACAGTATTTAATATTTATTTGCTATGTATATGTAGTGGTGTGGGTCTATACATATGTTGTACATAGTATGTTTTAGGTGTGTGTCATGTATGTGTTTCACTTAGAGAACAGGCAACTAAATTTCATTTTTGATGTGTGACAGTTGTGCCCACAGTAAAAAAATGACAATAAAGGTTATCTTATCTTACCTTCTCTTATATCTTATCTTTGTCCAGGAATTTCTTCTAGCTGTTAAGATAATACCTGGGACAGATAGGAAAAATCTAGCCTGCTCCCTTCACCGGTTCGTTTTCTTTTGTCTTTTTAAGGCCAGATGTTGTTGAAACCCACATTGTGGGTTTGCACAATGCATTGAACCATAAATTAATCAAAATTCTTTAGTTCAAACTTTATACTAAGGCACCCCCCTCGTACACACACACATACACAATGTATGTGAATGCAGATGGGTTTGTATCTCACCTGCTTGAACATGATGCTAAAATGTAATTAGTCAACAATTTATAAATCCATAAAGTTTGATTATTGGACTTCCCCACCCCCACCCCTATTTGATTATTTGGAAGTGAAATAAAAAGAA